GGGTTTAATGTAGATAATCTACTGTCTCTTTTTACAGGATTTCCTTTGTTAATATCGTTCAGTTCCTGTATAAAGCTTGAGTTCTGTATATGTCGTACTATAGCGTACGTTGCGTTCTTTATCTCGGAAACGGTAGGATTTCCTCGTTTTGGTTGTTCATTCAAAGTCAAGTGATGTCGTCTGCAATATGTTATGAATCTCAGTAACCAAGCAACTGCTCTAAGCAACATTGTCCAATCGGAATAATAGTTAATGAGGTCTTCTATATGAGGTCCTGTGTACGATGCGGTGGTATTAACAATAATATCTCTCTTAACTTCGGAATCATCACCTGCAATTTGTAGCTTATGTGGGAGTTTAGGCCAAGTCGATTCGTCTTGTAATAAGTATTTTGGTCCCTCTAGCCATATTTTAAGACCATGAATGTCATTTGGATGGATGCCCCTCGAAGCAATATCAGCTGGGTTCGAACCGGAATCGACATAACGCCACTTCTCAGGGGATGTAGTCTGGTGAATGTAGCTGATTCTATTTCCGACGAATGTCTTAAATCGTCTGTTATTGTTGTTTATATATCCAAGTAATATCATAGAATCCGTCCAGAATGTAACTTGGTCGACCTTTAAGTCAAGTTCTTCTGACAACATAGCATAAAGGCGGCATGCTACTACAGCTCCGCACAGCTCTAATCTTGGAATGGTTGTTTGCTTTATTGGTGCTAATCTAGATTTACCAATAACAAAACTGCATGAAATTCTATTCTGTATATCCGTCAATCGTAAGTATGCGCATGCGCCATAACCTGTTTCTGAGCCATCGCTGAACACGTGCAGCTGTACGTTCTTCAATTTACTGAAGTAATTTGGACGGAAACAACGGTCAATACTAATTTTTTCTAACGATGGTAGATTTGCTATCCACTGTTGCCAATCTTCTATTTCTTTCTGCGGAATGGTTTCATCCCACCCTATCTTCTTCCTACATAGGCTCTGTACAATTGCCTTAGCACGCAACGTCACAGGTGATACAAGTCCTAGTGGATCAAAGATCGCACTTACTATGGAAAGAATTCCGCGTCTTGTTAAGGGTTTTTTGCTTATTTTAATCTTAAATGTTATTTTATCGTCATTGACATTCCAATTGACGCCTAGCGCACGATCACAAGGCAGGATCTCCAGGATTGAGGCTAACGACCGTCGGCGCACGTTCAGATTCCGGAATCGTATTAAGTACCCTCCGGCTGTTGCTTATCTACTTTGTGAGTCTGAAGCCACCTAAGCTCATCAGGGACTGTAAATCTGCTGCAAGTTTAATAGCTTTATCTTCAGATTCTACAGACTTCAGGCAGTCGTCTACGTAAAAGTTTCTCTTTACAGTTGATAATACTGCAGGTTCAAATCTCTCTGCATTGTCAATGGCAGTTCTTCTCAGCGCATACGCAGCGCAGCTCGGAGAGGAAGTTGCTCCAAATAAGTGGACTTTCATACAATAAGTCATGGGTGTTATAGATAAGTCTCCACCAGGCCACCAAAGAAAACGTAGGGCATCACAGTCCTTCTCACATACACATACCTGGTGAAACATTGCCTCTATGTCAGCGGAAAGAGCTACCTTTTCTTGTCGAAATCTGGTTAATACGCCTACAAGACTGTTCATCATATCAGGACCTTGTAAAAGTTGACTATTTAATGAAATACCTTTATATTTTGCCGCACAATCAAATACAACACGCACTTTTCCGGGCTTATTCACATTTGCTACAGGATGGTGGGGTAAATACCATATCTGTTCTGAGTTCGTTTCCTTATTTGTCACTTCTTTTGCGAATCCTTTATCAATATAGTCTGTCATTGTTTTGGTATACATCTCATGTAACACGTTGTCACGAGAAAGTTTTCTTTTCAGGTGGTTCAATCGCGCATGCGCAAGCACTAAATTATTCGGCAATTTTGTGTCATCCTGTCGCCATGGTAATCCCATCTCATAGTGTCCATTAACCCGAGAAAGTGTAGATTCCATAATTCCCAGTGCTCTCTTATCTTCAACTGACATGGAATTTTTCTCATTATAGGATCCGTCATTGAAGTCTGACGTCCACATACGTTCAAGTTGTTGTTGTAGTATGGCGTCACTTGACTGACCGAAATGAATGTTAATTGGGGTTCTTTTGTTGTCTGTTTTATTATGTTTTGAATTATTGTATGGTATTGGTCCACGAACTGCCCAACCAAGTTGCGTTCTCACAGCATATGGCTCATTACTACTTCCTGTTCGTATCTCTAGGGGAATATGTGCTACCGGTGTATCCGTGCCAATTAGTAACATGACTTCATTAACGTTCACGTTCGGAATATTCAAGTCACTTAAATATGGTATATTTCTAATATCATCGGCAGTAGCTGCAGATCGCGTAGAAATAGGCATTTGTTTTACTGTCCAAACATTGTGAAGCTTCACTTCACTTTCACCGGAAATAGGACTCACAGTTAGGTCAACTTCTTTTCCGTGTATTGCATTCCTTGTTGAATTAACAGTTGAAATCTGGAAAGTAACTGGCCTACATGATATATTCAGCTTCCTTATAAGCTTTTCGTCACACAGGGTTTTGTCTGCGCCATCGTCAAGCAGGGCATATGTTTGACAGAAGTAACCGTCCCTACCCTTAACAGTTACAGGTATAATCCCCAAACATGTTTTAGAAAATGAGCCATTTGTGGCCGTACAATTTATTGAAGGTTGCGTTACAGATTTATCAGAACCTACCGGGAACCAGCTATGTAATAATGTGTGATGTTTGCTGCTACAATCAGGTATAGTACATGATTTTTCTTTCCTACATTCATTAGACATGTGATTGCGTTTAAGACAATTGAAACACAATCTGTTCTTAACAACATATTTCTTTCTATCTGTTAAAGTCATTTTCTTAAATCTATGACATGATGCTAAGTCTAAGCATGAACCAGAGCAGCAATAACATTTTCTTTCGTTCTTGTGTTTATCACTTTCAGTATATGACGACAAGGTAGTTATTTTGCCTTTAACAGAAGTACTAGGCAGACTATGGGGCTGTTTTCTTACTTGGGACGGTGCATTTTCTTTAACAATATCAATACCATATACCGAATAAGCAACACGTGATCTTTCTTCAACAAATTTCAACAAATCAAAGAATCTCGGCTCTTTGCCGCACTCATAGATTGTATGTGCAATATCTGCCCACTTGGTTCGCATATGCATAGGCAAACGTCTAACAATTCGTCTTAAGTTTTCTGAATTATTTACATCAGAAACAAAACCTAATTGGGATAGGGTCATATGATTCTTGATAATATATATCTTACGTTAAGCGTTGTTTGGCGCCAACTTATTTAACGTTACGCGCTGAATAGTTTAGCGCGTCATTTTGACGTAATTGTTTGTTATGAATTTAAAAGGTAACTTCCGTTATATGTAGCGGCGTTAAACGTTAAAGCTGAAACTGTATTTTAAAGGTTTCGATGTGAAAGACATTATGGTCGGTATGATAGCTGCTTAAATTATTTTGATTTATTTATTTGTTAACGGATAAAAAGAATTTTCTAATGAAGTATTTATTAATTTTAATCAATTGTTACGATTATTTATTTTATGGAATTAAACTGTACTTCTGTTTATTAAGATTCTTCGTCATAGGAAATAATTATTTAATTATTCTATTCTATTATTTATTTGTTAAGTTTATATCAGAAATGAATGTATTAGTTAATTACTTTATCATGTGTTTCAGAGAATCGCTTTGTTCTATGCTGATGTGTGAAAATAAAAGATATATAGAAGCGCATACTCGAAAAGTCTAGTTGTTATCCGAAATCCTTTACAATTTTCGACTCAGCTTTAACGTTTAACGCCGCTACATATAACGGAAGTTACCTTTTAAATTCATAACAAACAATTACGTCAAAATGACGCGCTAAACTATTCAGCGCGTAACGTTAAATAAGTTGGCGCCAAACAACGCTTAACGTAAGATATATATTATATATTTTAATTAGAATCGGTAATAAACGATTCTTAAGCTTACAAGTATTGATATAGTGCCTTGTACAGTACAGCTAGAGGAGCAAGAGTATTGTCATAGTGCCTTGTGCAGTACAGCTGGAGGAGCAATAGCATTGTCATAGTGCCATGTACAGTACAGCTGGAGGAGCAAAAGTATTGACATAGTGACTTGTATAGTACCGTTGGAGAAGCAACAGTATTGTCATAGTGCGCTTTACAGTACAGCTGGAGGAGCAAGGGTATTGTCATTGTGCCATGTACAGTACAGCTGGAGGAGCAAAAGTATTGTCATAGTGCCTTGTACAGTACAGCTGGAGGAGCAAAAGTATTGTCATAGTGCCTTGTACAGTACAGCTGGAGGAGCAATAGTATTGTCATAGTGCCTTGTACAGTACAGCTGGAGGAGCAATAGTATTGACATAGTGCCTTGTACAGTACAGCTGGAGGAGCAATAGTATTGACATAGTGCCTTGTACAGTACAGCTGGAGGAGCAAAAGTATTGTCATAGTGCCTTGTACAGTACAGCTGGAGGAGCAAGAGTATTGTCATACTGCCTTGTACAGTACAGCTGGAGGAGCAAGAGCATTGTCATAGTGCCTTGTACAGTACAGCTGGAGGAGCAAGAGTACTGCCATGGTGCCTTGTACGGGCAAGACATTTATTGTCATAATGCCTTGTACAGTACAGTTGAAGGTGTTAAGTTTAGTTGGAGGAGCCAAGTTATATTCATTGTGCCATGTACATTGGGGGAGCATCTGTTGTCAATTGGTTATGGGTGTTGACTTCGAATCACCTGCCTAGTGTTCAGGTGTTTCTTGATACCCACTTACCCAAAGAAAGGAATATAAGGCAATGGTTCTATAAAATCATCTTCTCTCTCGTGTCTGAAAACATTTAGTGACGACATAAGTCTCCTACAAAAGTTATATTTAGAAATGACATTAATGATGACATATACCTCTGTTGGTGCACACTGTCGGAGATAAGCGCAATCTTCCGGGTATTGTGGTGGTTGTGGTCGACCATCTCTACCGTCACACGAGTTACATAAAGTTAAATTACTTTCTGAAACAATGATATACACTAGTAAACGATGTAGGTAACGTTAAAAAAAAGAAAAAAAGTACAAAATTGTCTTCTAGTATTTGTTAGATAATAAAATCAGTTTAAACTTAGTTTGAGGAAACAAGCTCAACGGACATAGAGATCGAAGTTTAGGATCGAGAGTATAGATATGTGATACAATTTTAACGATTAGGTCATATATTGTCGATATATATTTATATAAAATTACACATGTATATATTTACATTTATCAGTAGTATTACCGCGCGGTTTAGAGGAAGTCATATTAGACTCATACACCTTGTCTAGACTTGCCGAAATATTTTTTATCAGTCAATGAACAAACCTTTTTTAAGGCCACACAGACGGTCATTACAATAATCGTCCCCGTCACAACACTTGGAACAAGCAACAAGATCACCTCTTTTCCTTTTTTTACCACTAGCTTTACACACCTTTAATAGAACACATTAATATCACTATTGCCAAACATTTCCAAAACATATTATTGTGATGCTAATATATACACACCCAAATAAAGCAAATACATTTGTATATATCGTCAGTTTCTTTTTTCTGTTGAGGCATTGCAATAATCAAAAACAAATATCATTTTGCCAGCATCCTTATTGCAACAAAACAAATATATTGCTTTGACAATATCAACATTGTGTTTGAGTAATCATAAAAGTCAGTTAATTTATTTGCATACAGTTTCAGAACAACAGTAAGGTTGTGCTATATAGTGCAAACTAATGTTGTCAGCCAGTTTACTAATTGGCACTGTTCATTTTAAATTTTGACAGAAATACATGTAATATCTATTTGATAATCATGTTTTTATTTATTAAAATGTTTATACCTCAATCGCTCTACAACCGGCTTCGAACACAGCTATGCCGGATTCAGTAATCAGCTCGTCAACAAAACACGCCTACAATATAACACAAGAAAATCACGTGCTTAGTTTTATTATATATACTTTTACATCACGTACATTCATTGAGAAGTTGATCAATACGGATGCGAAGTACTATATTTCCGGCCTCACCGTCCAATTTCTTGTTATTTTCTCCATATTATCTTAGAAGTACAACATATGACCTGACGTAAACATTATGTTAATTATAAAATGTTGAACGTTACTGTTTATATAATTGGTAGCTAATGCAATATTTTCCCCACAAGAAATGGAAAATTTAATGGATTCATTTTTATATTTTGTGTATTCTTGTTAGATATTGGTTAAATTGCAACATTCTAAAAGATAAACAGTATTTTATGTTTACTATTATTATAATTATACTTATGATAATGTATGAATATACTTACCTCATTTCTGTCACACACAACATAATTTTCACATTGTTCAAAGGATGTCACCCTATGACATCTCCTACATCTAGGAAGAGTCCAGTAATCCTGCGCTGTAAAAAGATGATAGAATGTTTAGATATGTATAAAATATAATCAAGTTTTGTTATGAAGCCTTTTACATCTTAAATACATGTATGCACATTTCGCTCTCCAATGCTAAGCAGTCGTATGACAATTCACGTTTCATTTATAAAAAAAGAATAAGTTATTACATAGCCATAAAGTTTCCAAGTTAAAATATATCCTTCTGTAATTTTTAAGTATAGACAATTTTATAAACGATTACTTTTTTGAGAACAGATTCTTATAAAAATGCAGATTCACTTGGAACTTTGAATCTTTTTATATCAGTAACTTATATTTGAGTGTTCATATAACATATAATTGTATTGTTTATCCTTATGTAGCTTGACGTATAGGGAACTTGATTTACATGTTGTGAGAGGGCGCTATACATTGTACTTCTTAAAGTACATTCTTTCTTTATCAAGTACGATAATGCCATTGTTTTATCGAATGTTGAACTTATATACATGAGACGGTGTCACATAGAGCAAAAGTCCATTTTATCTCTGGCATACAAACTTTGTTTATCGTCAGTAAAGCCTGCTAAATATCAGATAAAATGTTTCCATATTAAATTCTTGTGTAGACTTTAGCTGACCATTTAAAATGAACTAACGCCAGTCTGTCACCGTATAAGCTTAAAGCATATTTTCATCTTCAAATTTTAAACAAACATAAGAAAGAAGCCTGATATATACATGTATACTATAAGACAAACAATAACGGCATTTTGAATGAACTTGAATTACCTTTCTAATAATGATTTATACCATGCAACATTTCCTTAAAGGTTTACATACATTTACTAGAAGGTAAACGTTCACCTTGATGTTGTTAAACAGATGCATTTGCATGTTGAAAATATCATAAAATCTGTGTTTTCTTTACATACTTTCAGGTATTTCATATAAAATATTCCTATCCAATACATATAGTTTAGATTTACTAAAAAAATAAACAGTTTTATAACATTGTGTGAAAAGTCCAACAATCTATTTTATACATGTACTTCGTATATATGTACCAAACTTTACAAATCAAAAGATAACCACAAAAACACCAATACAAACTCGATACATCAACAAAGAACTGTTTCATATTATCACATCGTCATTTTAAACCTTATTAGTATCAGCAATATGAAACATCTCATTGATTTATGCGGTAAGGCTCTCAAAAATGTGTGCATTTCTTTGATTTACGATATGTTTTTTTCTTCATTTTTGTAGACAGTATTTTTTTCGTTCTACGTGCAAGTTAAAGTACATGATTTGAACGCAGCAAACTGTATACTTATTAGGGACGAAAATATGCATGCGACCGGAAAGTTCAGTCGTAAGAGCCAGGTAAGGTATTCCTACGGGTCTCGTGTTCGAGTCAATGTCATGCAGCACATTTTTTTCACCCTGATGCTGTTTGGTAAATGTCTTTAATGCCGATTCGTTAAATAAACCCAGTTATTTCAATATGACTTTATGTGTTAATGTGTAACCTTCTCAAAGTAAAGTTTTCACTCTCTGTCAGTTGACAGTTGATCTCTACTGATGATTATCTATATATATAATATATATTATGTTACTTTTTTTTTAATTTCCATCTTAATTTGATACTTGACGTTGCCTTCCTGGCCTCGTGCGATTATATAATATTTATATTAATGTCTGCACACGTTGCGATTATATTATATTTATATTAATTTTTGCACACGTGCAATTATATAATATTTAAACTAATGTTTGCACACGTGCGATTATATAATATTTGTACTAATGTTTGCACACGTGTGATTATATAATATTTATATTTATGTTTGCACAAGTGCGATTATGTACTATTTATCACAGGCACGAGTATCGGACCTGGGAAGAAAAAATATGACCAGACTGATAAAAAACCTGTGTTCATCTTAAAAGTGTCCAAAAAAAAAAAATGACCCCCTTTAAAAATATACTATAAGTTAAGAGCTCTTAACTTATAGTATAGTTTTAAAGGGGGTCATTATTTACATTTTTTTGTGTGTTTTTTTGACACTTTTAAGATGAACACAGGTTTTTTATCAATCTGGTCATATTTTTTCTTCCCAGGTCCGATACTCGTGCCTGTGCTATTTATACTAATGTTTGCACACGTGCAATTATATAATATTTATATTAATGTTTGCACACGTGCGATTATATAATATTTATATTAGTATTTGCACACCTGCGATTATATAATATCTATATAAATATTTGTACTTGTACGATTATATAATATTAATATTTGCACACGTGCGATAATATAATACCTATATTAATGTTTGCACACGTGCTATTATATAATATCTATATAAATGTTTGCAAACGTCCGATTATATAATATCTATATAAATGTTTGCAAATGTGCGATTATATAATATTAATATTAATATTTGCACACGTGCGATTATTGTCACACATCTTACAATATTCTTTTAACATAGACAGGAGAAAGTTTTACATTCATACAAAATAAAATGAATTATTTGAAAAATATTTATCAAAGTTTAATTTGCACACGTGCGGTTAAATAATATTTATATTACATTTGTATCAATATCAATATATATCAATCAATCAGTCAAATATCTTTATTCACCCAGGTATTAATAAAATACATAAGGGGGTTACAAAATAATATTTTACAAGATATATGTTCCGGTTGTAAAGTCCTGAAAAGATAATGTAGTATTAATAGTCATTTAGTTATTTTTAAACAGAAATATAAAAAAAATGTACATTTTTTAAGTTTTAAAGAAAGAAATGGGGGTTCAAGTGAGAATATTCTAGCACCTTATATAACATAAATACTGGGTAGCACACAATGCCTTATTGCACGCTCTAGTAATTTTATTTACAACGACGGGGTTTTTTGTCACGGGGGAGGAAGTGTTACACGAAGGATGGAGTTCTTATGATAACTTGTTTGGAGTTCTTATGATAACTGTCACGGAGTTCCTGGAAAACGTTACGGATTTCTGTGGAAAACTTTTCTATATACTAGGAGAACTCGCCTAAAAAATGGTTATTTTCAACTTTAAATGGGGAGTTTGAGGTGAAAAAATTAAACTTTGATAATTAAGCTTGCCCTACATATTGTATTTTGTTTCAGAACAAATCTTTTAGTCCATATTTCGTCGCCGTTTAAAAAAAATCTGGAAATTTTGAGAAAAAATTCCAAATTACTCGCTAATTCTTACATATTGCCCTTTTCATTTGTGATCTTCTTCGTTGCTATACTTAATTACCTAATTATTATGGAGAGTTGCAAACATAAAGCCGGGCTAATAAATTTATACCCGATTTTCAAATGTTACGGAGTTCTTGCGATAACTCAAAATATGTCCTGGAGTTCTTATGATAACTTTTGTTACTGCCAGTGTGTTTTTGTGCTTAATCACGGCGCGTTTAAGCGTATTTTATTAGACAATAAGTGTGTAAATCATTATGAAGCATAGTACGCTTATCATTTGCACAAAAATTTGGTTATATAACGTTGGTTTTGATCGTGTTTTTCAGTTCAAGAGATATTTTTTCATACCTCCGTTTCTTGTGTTTTTTGTGTTTGTTTTGGTCTTTTTGGTTGTTTTTTTTTTATTATTTTATTGGAATGACTGTAAACATACTTGATGTAGAGCATTTACTTACAGGATAAAAAAGCGCTTTGAATCATGATTTCGTCATATATACATTATTCCTGGCAGTTTTAGAGAACATTAATAACTATGCTATCGGTATGCATGTAAATGGTTTTCAGCAAAATAGGAGGTAGTATGCACTACTTTTATCTAAATTTAATGAGGTGGGTGTCGTCTTTATGTTTCAACGGGTATTTCAATTTCAAAAAAGGTATCAGTTTTTGTCATAGAAACGTATAAAGTTCTATGACAATGATATGACGATAGAAAGTAAGTCTTCAATAAGATATGTGAGTCACCGTAAGGTTCATGCCGTTTATTCGACCTTGTTCCTTTCTCTATTAAATCCAATGTAGCATCACGTGACGTACAGCAATTTCCATATTTCGGAAAATTACTGCATACATTTTTCTTATCAAAGTTGGAGTCCTTGTGGAAATTTTGCAACAACTTTTGCTGTAATTGATTACAAAAATATATTGTCGAACTTCTTTCGCTCGAACCCGTAGGGCACGTGCAAATTTGTCGATGAGATCGGTAGTAATCGGTTGATTTTTATGCATAAAAAGATCATACATTTCGGGTGCATGGGTGTAAAGGATATCCAGGTTATTTACGATACATGGTATATAATGATACAATTTACTTAGCCGCTTCTTGAGGAAGCCCAACTACACGGTGCATATCCATATCGGTACCCTCTTTGCGAAATCTGCTCAAACGGTACCCTCTTTGAACATGCACAGGTCATTCTCTGCTAAAAACAAACCAGCGATGGATAACAATCCAGTAAAATTTCATTGTAATAAGGAAAGGAGGTATGACACGTAGAAAAGATGTATACCACGGAACACTAGAATGTTTTATTTATGTGCTGATTTGCCATGTGCACGTTTTTCATGTACTGCAAATTCACAATAAGCTACAAAAAATCGACATGTCTTGCCTCGCCCATCACATCGACATATTTTTCGGGCTGAAATGAACCTTTGGCTTGATTATATTTGCATCATCACACATATTTAATATGTTCATATACATATCATATTCGGACAAATGGCAGTATATTGTCAAAAATAAATGAAAAATTCATAAAAACACCCTACTTTCGGTTTTGCAGCGGCACGGGCTACCACTCTTCATTTGAATTTTCATATCACATGTACCCTCTCATTTTTTAACACATAGGCACGAGCACGACATATACTTTTATGTGTTAATCGCTAAGTATGTAATATTTACATACAAGTAAGAAATATTACATACATACTTAACGATTAACGCAAATAAAAGCATCGAACCCACGCCAGAGAGGTAACTGGATTAGAA